TTACTACCCATTTGCTCATAATGGACTCGTTTTTCGCTCAAAATCAGCCACACAAAAGCTGCCTGGGGCTATATATTTTTACTTAACAACATTAACCTGGAGACTTACTGTCGAAATTTTACGGCCATTTTAAGCTGTTGAATATCTTAAGTGGTCTGTTTGTGGTAACAACCAACACAAGATCGTTTAAGATGTGATTTTATTGAGAATTTTAGGTACGGTATTTCACATGTTTAAAACGTTCATTAAATGTAAGCTCCTTTTACAAACACTCAAATAAAGACATTTAGCACAATCGTTGCAAAGTAACCAATGCATTGTCTGAAAATCCCTTGTTTAAATACTCATCAAGTAATAATCGTAAGCTCGGCCTAAATTAAATGTATTTTTATCTAAAACTCTTTAACTACATAGAAGATTGTCTTGGTCAGCAAGGTTACTCAGGTTTACAGTTGTATTTTTTGATTAATCGCTTTTTAGTGTACTACCTGTACTAATGGGCTTGTATAACATCAGTACTATCACTGGCGAAAAAATACACTTTCCAGCAAAAAAGATACTCACGACAAAGATGGTTGAATCTGTGCATCAACTGTACTAGGACAGGAAATATTAAGTATATGATCAAAGATACAAGTATTCGATTGTCTCAGCAAGTGAAATATAAACAGCTGCCATTTGTTCATACTTCAGTAGCATGGTTCGATTTAGGGGTATGGTCCGAGGGGAACGCGCTTCCCCCTCTCTGTAAAATTTTGTACATGTGAAATTTTTGTACATTATTTTTATGAATTCTCTGTAAATCAATTGTCTTATAGTTGAACTGTCATTAAGCGACCATCCTCGTGGCAAGTGGCAGCTTAATGCAAGCTGGCCATCAACAGAGGTTTGTCATAAATTAGCATAATCTTTAGCAGAAACATCAATTCATCATACAACAAACACGAGACAGGAGNAACTGTACTAGGACAGGAAATATTAAGTATATGATCAAAGATACAAGTATTCGATTGTCTCAGCAAGTGAAATATAAACAGCTGCCATTTGTTCATACTTCAGTAGCATGGTTCGATTTAGGGGTATGGTCTGAGGGGAACGCGCTTCCCCCTCTCTGTAAAATTTTGTACATGTGAAATTTTTGTACATTATTTTTATGAATTCTCTGTAAATCAATTGTCTTATAGTTGAACTGTCATTAAGCGACCATCCTCGGCTTAATGCAAGCTGGCCATCAACAGAGGTTCGTCATAAATTAGCCTAATCTTTAGCAGAAACATCAATTCATCATAAAACAAACACGAGACAGGAGTCTACAATCAGTCTTTTCCTTCTATCTCGGACTGTATTTATTTTTCCTTCATCATACTTTTAAAATAGAGCCAAACTAACTGTATCAAACGCTTGATGACCGCCTAACACAGAGGCTACAACAATAAATTAAAAGCTAGAGAACTCTCGCCAGGGTAGAAGCTGGCCGCTTGATGGACGTTCAACTCTGTATATCAGCTTTGCAAGTGTTCCGCCCCACCCCCGCCCTTCTAAATTTTCTACATCCGCCCGTTTGAGTGGTGCATCACAACTTCCTTAATCCACCGCCCAATGGCCGCCTGGGTGGTCTTAACTTTATACTTAGTCAAATCTAAGGCGACTCATGGATAGACCCCTGCTGGTTTTTATTTGACATGCACTTTATATTGTACATCTGCTTTTTTTCTCGATCATGAACCTCACATAGTATTTATGTTGCCTGGTTATAATTAAATAGTTCAGAATAATATAACCCTCAGCCTTCTCCTTTGTTAAAATTTTAGTCAATAAGTAAATCATGTTTTTAAAATTCTGCCTTAAATTGGATTCAGTTATCAGTTCATGATTCATTTAAAAGGAAAATAATATATTCCATACAACTACAGGTGAAAAACAAATTGAAACTTCAAAACATACCCTTTTTTTCCAAACGCGAAACAGTTCAATGAAGTTCAATAAAGCCTCGAATATATAAATCCTAGTATTGTGTATTTTTCATTGATACACTTTGTTGAGGTGAGACATAATGTCATTGTATGTGTATCCTTTTGTGTCCATCTTTGTCTTTGAGTCTAGTTTCTCCGGCTTTTCTCTCATTGCATTTTGTAAAAGTGGAACAAGGTAATGTGGTCTTGGTCTTATAGCATCATTTTCCCACTCTGTGTCAGTGCTCGGCCAGGTACGCCAGGGATTCAGAATATTCTTGTTCAGCTGAAATATGTGCAGCAAAAGAGCCACAAGGATGATATATTACATGAATCAATTTTAAAAATATTGGTGTTTTTGACTGTAATTCTCATCAAAAGACAAATGTTCGTGAAGTTCTTTCTTGTAAATTGTACCAGACCGTCAAATTAAGGGACAGTTTTAACAGTACTGTAAAAGAAAAACTATCAGTGCGTCAGTTTCGTTCACTGGTGAACAAAATAAAAACAAAATTACAGTTATGTGGACATCAAATCAAAACTTATGGCTTTGGAAACGACACCTATCATATAACTAAACCTACTCTCTTAAGGGGATTTAAGGAGGGACTTGGAAAAAGTCATCACTGACTGAAGATGATATGCTGAATAAACTCCTCCTAAGTACCACAAGAGATGTTATAGAGAGTAATATGAAGAATGTGCAAGCTAATATTAGGGACGTTGAAGGTTTGAATTTTGCGTGTATCTAGCCTGTTGACAGATTCTCTATTTTCTGTTTAGAGACCGTCAAGCGCGCGCGAAATATGTAAATGAGACAAGGCCAAAAGCGGAGCTCTCGAGAGCCGATTATTTGAAATATTTCTTTTCATATGTTAGAATCAAATAGTCAATAAACAGATGCAGTGCGTACGAGCATGGCTTTTGATTATGTATTTGGGTACGCGAAAAAAGAAAAAAAGCTTCTTATACAAACCTTCGGATTACAGCCAAATGCTATCTCCCATTTTGTACACTTACGATCGTACCCGCTGATTTGAACAACCACAGCGAAAAGACATAGAAAAATTGCTGAAAACTCGGTTGAATTCATGTTTGAAAATTTCAAAGCGCAAATGTCGGAATAACACTGCTTAATGATATCGATCACATATATATGCATGATTAGTAAGCCACAGACAGCTTTTTTTGTTACTTGAGGTTGTTGAAAGTTGTATGTGCGCTTTCGTGCACATGTTGTTATTGGAACACCTTCAAACAACATTTTGACCACAATGGTCACAAAAAACGCTTACGCACAAACCGATTTAGCTCGTTTAACTGTTAAAGCAATTTATACGCAATAATTTATGAGATATTTGCGGAGAAGCAAAGAACAATGACTCGGCATACAACACTTGATTCATGCATAGAAAGAAAATGATTCTTTCTGTTTGCTTGGGATAATAACTGGAAAAGCTAAATAGAAAAGTAAGAAACACAATCACATTATTATGATACTTGTTTGTGATGAATGGAAATAGTGCCAAGTTGTTCAGTGGGACTTTATGTAGCTGTCCACCCACTCTATATAATTTGTCAAGGGGGCGGAATGCTCAAGAATAGCGAAGGAAATCGCGATGATGTGTGGAATTTTTGTCGAGGGTAGGAGGCAGAAATTGCTTTATTCTTGCAAGAGACAAGAATAGGAAAAGCTCAGAAAAATCTTCCGAGAAAACTAGTCGTTTATTGTCCGAAACTGGGCGATCACAAACAACGAACCTAGCTTGACACACAGGAACAAACAAATTGGATCAAAATGCACCAATCACAAGTAAACATGTGTTTCCTCAGAGGTTCGCGAAGATGATTGACGAAACAAAAAAACCCAAAATTCCTTCGAAGTTTGCAAAACGCGCAGCGCGATACAACGCAATTTGACAGTACAACAAGCCGACATAGCAGTGCTGATTAAAATACTGTTTGAATTTACTCTCCTTTTTTTAAGGCTCAAATCGTCATAAAAATCGAATTTAACTCATACAAGCTACAGACTGTTTTCACATGACGTCACGGCGGCCATATTGGTGTCCCAAACCAGTCCTGTGGGAGTTGAACTTTTTTCTTATGCAAACGCTTTCTTTTGTTCCAATAAATTTCCATAGATGCTGGCCACGAGAGTGAAAACGCTCTATAAGAGAGGCTTATAACCGCACTGGTAGATGGGCCGATTATTGGAGATGGCGTAAGAGGGGAAGGGAGGGGGGGGGGGGGGGGAA